GTGTGTGTGTGTGCTTGTGTTTGTTTTTTTTGGATTTATGTGTGTCTGTTTGTCGTTGCACTTGTGCACTCTTCGCCGCTCCGCCTTCCATGCTTGCATGCCGTGCAACCAGTGCAACAAGTGCAATCAGAAGCATTGCCAGAGTTGCATCACATCCGTGCAGTGCAAACAGTGCAAACAGAGCCTGACATGTCTGGCCAAAAAATTTCCTAAACTCATTTGCTGACCAACCCACAACCACACTACCTGCGAACTAACTCAATGTGGACCCTGGCAAATTGCAACTCCACTCACTCATGCTGCAGTCTCTAATCCTAATCCTACACACAATTTCAGACACTCACATGCAACTGAGACTGAGATTCGGGCGCTTTCGCAAACAGATGGGCTGTAAGTTGCATTTGAAGGCTCATAACGTCTAGCACGTTGAAGCTGGACTTGCCAGCAGCTCCCTTGAATGCATACACGTCCGGGACACGAACCTGAGTCTCACCGTGCTGGAACGGTTCATCCGATGAAGTGGCACGACTGGGCTTCTTCGCCTGTTCCGGGCTGAGTGATTCTTGCTTGACTTCGGATTCCGATGGCTCGCCCAGCATGTACTTGAACTTCGGGGGCACGTCCAAATCGAGTTCGCCCAGTTTCACATTCTTCGCACGATCCTTCATCTCCTCTGCAGTGAGCTTGGAATCCGCCATGCAGTAGGTCAGAAGCTTGGACCACGATGCAGCCCATCCGGTCTCGTCAACGACCATTGTTGCCAACAACATTTCTAGCCGCAAAACAAGCAAAGCATGTGCTTCTTCGTCTGGGATATCACTCTTATCCTTCTTCAACCCAAGTTTCAGGTACTCACACAACTCAATCAACCGACTCGCTTGAAAGTCAGCGAATCTTGCCCTAGCGCCCTTCTTCTCCAACCTTCCCACAACCTTGCAGAGCATGTCAAGAAGATAGAGGGGTCGCATGCTGATCAGGGTTTCCAATGCATTGTTGTTTGGAAGCCACGGCTGCTCCTCTGTGGACACCGACGGATCGCCAGGCTGCTCTGCCTTCTTGCACAAGAACCGGCACCACGTTGGAATCTCTGTGTCTTTGTTCTTGCTATCTGAGAACATGACCGTCATGGCGATAGCCAAGGTGGGCACCGATGCAGGCACGTGCTCAAAGACAACTTCGGATGCCGCCCAAAGCAAATCCGCACATGTCATGGTTGCCTGAGCATGGACTGGACAAGAAGAGGGGTCCTGTCGACACTTGCACAACCTGCTGCTGAGCTTTCCCACCGCCGAGCCAAATGCCGAATGCTCCATATGATTGATGGATTTGTTGGCATCGAGCCACTTCTGCACGATTTCGGCACTGGCCTCCGTCATGAAAAGCATCACACTCTTTTCGCCAGGACTGGCTGTGGAAGACACCGGGACTGTGGACTCAGGCCCCTGAAAAGCAGACGAAGCTTTCGAACTGGGGGGGGCGACAGCGGCTTGAATGATTCCTTGCAGCACGGGCCGCAGTTGGCTCCACTGTCGCTTTGGCTTGCCTTGCACTACAACATTCTTGTGCATTGCAAACTCCATCCCGATCGCCAATGCTTGCTTGAGGACTCGTCGATGCGACGGGGTCCAGCAAGGTGTCAACATCGCCTTGAATTCAGAATTCAGTGAACAGCATTAGGCATTAGGCATTACACTACCACAACTACATATCACATACCTACCTAAATGCAAGCACAAGCGAGTAACTCGAACCTTGCAGACAAGTCGATGCAATGATGCAGCAACTGCAGCAACACGGGCATTGCAGGCAACCGGCAACGGGCCAACGGGCAACGGATGACACAGTGCGGGTCACAGTGCGAGCGAGTTTGCA